TCTAAATCTAAGGAACTGAAATAATTGAAACCCGTTTGGCAAGACCAGAGTAAGGAAGTAGTAATGATCTTTGACAATACTGCAGAAAATCAAAAACTAAAGACTAAAGAACCAGACGAAAACTCTGAGATAAGAAGAGTCCACCAACCTGGCTGCCAAAGTCGCATTAGAGAAAAAGATCCTATGCTACAAAATTAGAAATCAAGGAAAGTAAAACTGGAAAGCACTTAAAGCCTAGATACAATGACCCATCTAGGCTAACTGGTTTGGTAGTTGGGGAGGGATCAGTATAAGGACTGGCTTGATGTAGATATCAGGATCGGAACGAACCTTGCAAGGACCAGAAGGTTTGGCGGTGTAGCCTGTTCATAAAGGTTTAAAACCTATCTGGTGAACCTATCTGCGAAAGAATTGGCAATGTGGCCTGCCTATAAAGATATAGAACCTATCTGGCAAGACTTATTCGAAAAAGACTAAGTAATATGATAATAAGTAAATACCAGATTGCTCTAGCAGATGATGCATTCGAGGATGAATCGGTTAACTATACCAGTAGTCCTATAGATAACTTGTGACAATCTTGGAACTTGGACTGACTTATATATCACATGTTCCAGGTGAGGTTAGATGGATTGGTATAAGAAACTCAGATCAGAGAGTTTAATTGGGTAATCTAAATAATAGTGGGTTACAGATATAGCATTTAGTGTAGAACCTAGTAATAGGCAGACTACTTAAATTAGGTACTCAAAAGGTGCAGATATGGCTAAAATATACTCTCATCAGAATATACTTATCTGGAGCTCCTGTGATAAGGGCACCATATGATTCTACAAATCTAATAAAAGCGAAAAGCCAAAGAGGCTAACCTTGATTATAAAAAAAAAAATAAAAAATAAAAAACTTTTAATTAATTAAAGTTTAAAGTTTATGTAATATTAGAATTTACTATTAAAAATTTTTTAAATTTTTTAAAATTTTATATGTTTCTAAAGCTAAAAAAAATTTTGCTCTTAAGATAAGTATTGTCACAAATTAAAATAAAATCTGATTAAAATGAAATTTTTATGTTTTTTAAAGAAAATTTAAAAATTTTTAGGAGATATTTTTTGGAGTTTTTTTAGTATTAGGAGTAGGGTTTAGAGTTAAATTTATTAATAAATAAATATATGTAGGTTTTATAGGCTCTAAGAGTGGGCATAAGAGGTTTCAGTTTCATTTTGATCAGATTTTATTTAATCTGCAATAAGTATTGTTAAAGATAATGCTGAAACAAGATAATGCTGAAACATTAACTTATTTTAATATGAAATTTTAAATTTTTGAGAGAATATTTTTTTTTGGCTTTTTTTTTGTAGTTAAGTTAGGGTTTAGTCTAGTATTTATAATAAAAAAGTATAGGTAGATTTTAGTAGAGTTTATATTTCTAAATTGAAATCCTATGTTTCAGCATCATCTTGTTTCAGTATTATCTTTAACAAGTATTAATTTTTACAAATAAATTACAAAATTTATAATAATTAAAATTATAATCCTAAAGGTGTAGTGACTTAGTAAAGTAGTTAAGTTGTCACACCCCCAAGTAGCATTTTGGCAGATTGAGATTCGAAATTTACTAATAGTGAAATTTTGAATATTCTGCTTATATAATGCCTATTGTCTTTTAATAATCAGTTGAAACAGAATCTTTATAACTTTGGTAGTACTAACAAGATTAAGAGATCATGAGGCATTCATACAATATATAAGTTATACAAAGGCATACAAACTGGCATTGGGTAATACAAACTTAAAATAAGTGCTTGTAATTATATTAATTCAAGAAACTGAAAAGATAGACATCTAATTGACAAAACTTAAATAAAAAAATAGCACAGACTTTTAATAGTGACTACTAGAATAGGCTTTACCTGAGGCTGGTTAACTAGACATAACAAGAGCATCTGACAAGTTGCTTCACTAACCAGGTCATCAGCTTGAGCATTGACTGAAAAAAAAGATCAGCAGATATTATAAGACTGGTGTTTTTTCAGGATATCTGAATTGGTAGTCTGAGAAAACTGGCTAAAGGATACTAAAAAGAAAGATACCAGATTGTCTTGAAGAGAAGATATTAGGATTTGGATGAACTTTATAAGGACTAAGTACAGTTATCCTTCCATATAATTACCCAGTTTGTCTAACACTTTTTGGTGATTATATAGAAGGGTAATTAAATAGAATTACTTCTTTATAATCATACAATATACAATAATATATATAATGTAATTTTAAAAAGATAAATAAGTAAAATTGTTTAGCAGTTTGCTATTATAGCATTTGCCAAATAATTATAAAGTATTTGCATATAATAATGAACTGGTATATTAATTTAAAATTTGTCTTTTTCAAAAATTTATTTAAATTACTCAAAATATCACCTATGTGCATCCTGAAATAACATGCAACAACTTTTTTTGTAACTTAATTAAAAAGTATCTAAGCAACATTTTGTTTCAAATCAATCACAGATGTATATTAATTGATTAGTTAATACATTGTCATGATTTATTATATAATTTTATTTCATGCAAAGTGATGGTAGATCACTGGTCGAAAAGTGAAGCAGTTACACATTTGAAGCCACCACATTCTACATGACAAATCTCATATAGTGCAAATCCATTAAGGAAAGTTTGAAGATTATATACAAATATATAGCATTATATATCAACATTAAACAAGAGAAACAAGAGACCAAAGTCTCAAAAAAGATGTAAGATGTATTTAAACAAGAGGATGAAAACTTGTAGCCAAATGGCATTAAACCTATATGATTAAAGGTTTCGCCTTATCCATCTACCCAAAAATGTAAGTTTACATAATTCTACCATTTCTCTATCAGCATATGTTTTCAATTTCTCACTGGCTATTCAATCCTATGGTGACTCTCAGTGCAATGTTTATTGCATTCTTTCAGAATGTTATTACTATTCTAACCAACCACTCACTTCATGATCATATACTAATCTCCACTTAATTGCTTTAATAAAATCATCTTCAGCCTAAAATAACTTGTTAGCATAGCCTAATAGTTAATGTATAATGTAATCCTTTTATAATTTATCATATATTTTCATATATATTTCGATGTAATGATGTAGTATTTGCGATTAGTAATTGTTAGAATATTACCTCTAATAGTGTTGTACGTTTTGACTGTCCAAAGGCTTTTTTGATACTGTCCAAAGTTCAAGTGTCCAAGTGTCCACAAGTGTCCAGAGCATGTCTAAGCTTTAATAATTAATAAATTTGGTTAAAAAATATATAATTATATATTTTTTATATGCTGAATATATTTTACTTAGAAATTAATATAGGTTATCTTAATAAAATTTTGAGTAATTTTAATTTATTTAATTGTCCAAAATTGTCCAAAGTGTCCAAACTTACTGTTCACAACTGTCCTGTGACAACACTGACCTCTAGCCTGACTTTGTCAGTTTCTTCTACTCTAGCAATTGATTTGGCTGTCTGCTTAGAAGTTATGATTTGATAATAATAGTTACTTATTTGTTTTAAAGAAATTATGATCTGTTAGAACAATGTTTATAATTTAAATTTTTGAAGTGAAAGTAGCCTATCAGAATAATCTTTGAACTGCAAATTTTTGTTAGAAGTTTAAAAAAAAATCATTATTAAAAAATTATTTAGCTAAGAGGAAAAGAATAATAACATAACTGCTTATTTAATATAGATTTTTATTTAACAATTAAATTTAAGAAAAAATATTTGCCAAATTTATTTTACTAAATAAACCCAATATTTAAATTTATATATACAAAACAAATAACCTAAAGACTTAAAAAAATTAGGTTAACTAGTATTAAAAAAAACTATCTTAAAACCTATACAACATTGAATATTTTACTAAAATACTGTCTTCTATTATTAATCCACTAAATCAAATACTAAAGAAACATTAAAAAGTCTCAGAATATCAATTCACTTCATAATATTAGCACAATAATTTTATACCATTAACAGTTTAAAGAAGTACAATAATTTTATAGTATTGATAGTTTATGGGAAAGCATATAATTTTATACTATTGATGGTTTAAAGAAAGTACAATAATTTTATAGCATTGATGGTTTATGAGAAGGCATATAATTTTATACCATTGATGGTTTATAAGAAGCACAATAATTTTATGCCACTAATAGTTAAGAAGGAAAGAAAATTCATCTGGCAACAGTAGTTCAGAATTCTGAAAAGTTTGAAAGAAAAACTATATGCTATAAAATACAAATCTGATAATTAAAATCAAATTCAAAATCTTAATAGCCAGGATTTACCTTGACAGTTTTTAAATTTTCCAAAAAAAAACCTGCTAACAGGCAAAAAAAAAAACTAATAATCCTGTTATTGATCATAAATAGAGGAAAAAAAATCTATGATGGACTTTGCTTCAATGATTCTATATATTTTCTTTTAATTAATAGTAGGTATTTTCTAAAAACCTTAAGATCCTCTATATTAAAGTCACAACTCTCTTGTTGTTCAAAAAAACTAATGAACTTTGTTAATCTATTTAAACCTTCTGTAATAGAGATTTTAGATAGTTTTTCGGCAGTATTATTTGCATCACCTTCTTCAAATTTCCATTGCTTATCCAATACAATATTAACAATTTTCTCTTTATTAAGAAGATCTTCAGTAAGTATTTAAGAATCATTCATGTTGTTAAATTTATTTAGTTAACATTTGATTGTTGGATTTAACAGATCTATTGTTAGATCTATGATTAATTCATCAACTTCATCCTTTTCTATATCTTCTAGATCTTAAACAGCATAAATAGAATCTTCAATTTCAGTATCTGATAATAAGGGAAGAATTCCTATTTTTTTTTAGCAATTTATGATAATTAAGTCTTTAACTTCATCCCATGATTCTGTGATATAATACAGTCAGGGAATATACCAAATTTGGGTTATAGATGATCGCACCTTATTTAGTAATGATTGACCATGAGATTATTCTAGACGTTTCTTCTAAATATTCCAGGAAATCGAATT